ATCAAGTCAAGTTCTAGTTTGAATTGGTCAAATCAATAAGAGACAATGGTCCTTTACGACGAAGGGCATTTGCACGGTGATTAATAGCACCGACACATTTAGACCAAGTTGGCTCAAACTCATGAGCAGTCATCTTGTAGTGAACTAAGAGTTTCTTCTTAAGTGCTTGTACCTTGTCCTCCGGCAATGCTTTACAGTCTTTCACACCATAAACTGTGCTCTGTTTAAGTAGATCATCACCAAAATACGACTCAACAGCTAGCCTCACTGCCAATCTACCTGCCAATGATATGCTGCCACCTTGCAATTTCGGATACTTTTGAATGACTTCATCTGGATCAATAAACTTATTTTTTGAAACATCAGTATTTTTTACAGTCTGCTCAATGTTTATAGGTTGAATAGTAGAATTTGTAGTGGGTGCAGGCTGCTGAGAAGAATACTCACACAAAGCTGAAGCTTGAGCACTAGGAGGAGTAATGGGCCTATTAGATGGAGGTGAAATAAAGCTGGAAGCATCAACAGAACTATTTGCAGGCTTATAGAGAGAAGGTGGCTGAAAAATGTCCTCTGGATATGAGCCTTGTGAAGTAAATAGCTGAAGCTGTGGAGAAGCGAAAGAATGTGACACTCTTTGTGGTGTAGAAGAGACTAATTGTGAATCAGAGAAATGGCCCAAGTCTTGGCTGTAATTGACATGGCTCTATAAAAATATGTAAGAAGTTGTTTCTAAATGGATCCGGAACTCTCTGTGTACTATTGTAATTATATATTATGTGTTTATTCAAGTATATTCTAGAACAATCATGTAAAGTATTCTTGTATGTTATAGAACCTTCTGGACATTTATAAGATCTATATAAGTGTGTTGTTTGTGAGTGTTAGTTTTAGTTGTGTGTTAGTTGTGAGTTTAGTTAGTTTTTGTTAGTTGGTTTTTGAGCTCAGTTGAGTTTCGTGTTGATTAAGAAATAAGTTTGGTGAACAGATAGCTAGGAGCGTCTGTTACATTTTTTTTGGTGGCAGCGGTGGGATAGTTCTCAAACGGTTGTAGAGGAAAGACCCACTATTGTATCTCTGCAAGAGAGAGAGACTAAAGTTTATAGTGTCTGGTGTGACTGTTTATGTCGGATAACAGTCGAGAGAATCAAGGGCGGTATTCTCTACGGGACTTACCAAGACACGACTACAGAGGACAGTTGCGAGGATTGCATATTTTCAGAGAGAGTTATACTTCAGTTGATACGGAAGACTGTACTGAAGTGGAAGAAAGTCTTACACTAGGAGTTAGTGATCCTATGGAGCAATTAGCGGCAGCTTTGGCAAGTTTAGCAAAGCTTCAGGAGGAGCAGCAACGTCGTTGGGAGGAGGCCCAGAGACAAGCTGAAGAACGTCGTCAGGAAGAGGAGCGACGAAGAGAGGAGGCCCAGAGACAAGCTGAAGAACGTCATCAGGAAGAGGAGCGACGAAGAGAGGAGGCCCAGAGACAAGCTGAAGAACGTCGTCGAGAAGAGGAGCGACGAAGAGAGGAGGCCCAGAGACAAGCCGAAGAACGTCGTCGAGAAGAGGAGCGACAGCGAGAGGAGCGAGCTGAAGAACGTCGTCGAGAAGAGGAGCGACGAAGAGAGGAGGCCCAGAGACAAGCTGAAGAACGTCGTCGAGAAGAGGAGCGACGAAGAGAGGAGGCTCAGAGACAAGCTGAAGAACGTCGTCGAGAAGAGGAGCGACAAAGAGAGAGACATTATGAAGAGATACAGGCCATGCAGGAGCAGCATATGCAGCAGATGAAAGGAGTTCTAGCAGAAAGAGAAGGGAATAGTCCTCATTTAAAAATATCACCATATCAAGAAACAGAGGATATCCAAGACTTCATTGAAGCATTCGAAGGTATTATGAAGATACAAGGGGTGAATCGGACAAATTGGATTCTACGTCTGACACCGTTACTAAGTGGCAAGGCTAGAACTGTTTGTACTGATCTTGGAACTACTACTGATTATGATGGAGTCAAGAAAGCTATTTTGGAGCATTATAACATCAACACAGAGAGATGTAGAAGAAAGTTCAGGAGTCATGTTTGGACAAGAGATCAAGACCCAACTGATTGGATAGCTAGAGGAGTCAAACTGGTGAAGAGATGGTTAGTACCAGAGAATGGAATGGAACAGGTAGTTAACAAGATTGCAGTAGAGCAGCTTTTATATGGGTTACCACAAGAGATGAGAATCTGGGTAACTTCTCAGAACCCAGAGACACCAGAGAAAGTTGGAGAGCTTATTGAATCTTATGATACAGCTCATAGTTGTTTACCACAGAGGAATAGACCAAAGCAGGATCATGGTCGATCAAAGGAGTTCCCAAGGAAGACTGAAGGATCTACTGGAAACAAGAAGGAGAGAAAGTCACCTTCAGAGATTACCTGTTACAAGTGTAATCGCAAGGGGCATATAGCAAGAAATTGTACGGAGAAAACTCTACGAGCAAAAGAGAATGCAGAGGAAGTCATTTGGCATGGAGAAGGAAAGATCAATG